AAAAAAAAAAAAAAAAAAAAAAAAAAAAAAAGACATTTTCTGAAGGCTTGTATCGCTGGAGGCCACTGCTCCCATCTCCTTTGCAGCCTGAGAGGGGTCGGGGCTTGGGTGTTTCCTCTTGTCTCTCACACTCCTTCAGAGCCAGGTCCTCCATCGCACCCTCATCTGCTGAGAACGTTTCTGAAGCCACCCGTGTCCTCTCCTTCCTACCCTGACTCTGCCCCCACTTGGCCTCCCCTGCTGAGGTCTGAGCCGCCACTGCTGCCTTCGGGACCTCTTAGGTGTGCTGCCCCACTAGGTCCACTGTCCTCCCGTTTGGGTCGTAGTGGCAATAGTTGTCTGTCAAGGTGAAGGACACAGACGAACCCCTAGCCTCACAGGTCGAAGTGGGCACAGCAAGGGGCCTGTGAAGCCAGAGAGGAATGCACAGTGATAGGAACTGGGCAGAGGAGGTTGGATGGAAGACCCAGTGAACTGGGCAGGCCATCGTGAAGGACTCGGATTCTGAACAACCACAATGAGGATAATGAGGCCACGGGACTGGGATTTTAATGAGGTTCCTCGGGGCATGGGCCATGCAATGCTTCCCACCTGGCACATCCCCTCCCTTCCCTGCCTGGAACACGTCTACAACACAGCCGCTCGCTCAGCAGCTGCCTGAGGCAGGAGGCTGGCATGCTGACCTTGTCCTCATACTGGCAGCAGAGAAGTCAGCCCCTCCACTCCGGACTCCACACCTGCTGCACAAGGCATGGGGTCCACTGAGGTCTAGGCACCACTCCCCCCACAACTCCCCGCCTTCCTTCAGCCCCCATGAGTAGGGCACAAGGCCCAGCCAGCCCACCACTGCAGCCTCACCATCTAGTGGGCCTGGTTCACGGATGTCCTGGACAACCAGCCCCACCTCAAGGCCCTTGTGGATCAAGGCTGTTCCTCTGCCCAGACAGCTCTTCCCACAGATTCTGTCCCCTAAAGTGTCTTCTGGTCTTTGGAGTCTGGCTGTTCACCACCCTCCGGGCAGACGTAAGACCCAACTCACACACACACACACACACACCCCACTCCCCTTCTTTTCTCAGCTTCGGCCCAGAGCGTGGCATGCAGAGGGCACTAAGTGAACACTACTCGCCCTGGGGCAGGTGGGCCTGGTGTAGGGGCATCGAGTCTGGCTGCCTCCATCTTCTACCTGGGATCCAGGCTCAGGACCGGCCCGAATTGGCGTCCGCTCCCACATCCCACTTGCAGCCCCCAGGCCCCACTCGGGCTGGAGTCCCACACCAGGGGCGAGCCCTACTGCTGCTCCATCCATATGGGTGGAAGGCTGGGGTGCAGCGGGGTTTAAACCTGCCGGGGCCCGCCAGGGTCTTCGGAGCCGGCCGCCCTCCCACCCTCTCCCCCTCTCACCTTGTTCCGGCCCGCAGCACAGGCGAGTGGGTGCGGCCCACAGATTGACGGCCCAGGTTCCGCCCCCGCCCCGTCTCTAGGGCGACACTGCCTGGTTGTCCCAGCCCCTGTGACTTTGGTCGGAAGTGCGACCTTGCAGCGGCGACTAGTCTCCATGGAGACACCGGAAACTTGCTCTGACCTAGTGGTTCGCCGCGCCGCCGCAGCGGCGGACTTTGGTTCCGCCGGCGTTGCGGCCCGGAAGTGCGGCCTTGAAAGTGGTGAGCTGGAGGCGGCCACCGCCCGGCCTGGTGCCTGAGGAGGAGCCGGAGGTGGGGTCAGGCGGGCATCCCCCTGCCGCAGGGCCGGCGGGAAGGCCGGGGCGTGCCAGGGGAGGGGCGCCCGCGCTAGGCTTGGAGCGCGCGCCGCAGACGTGAGGGGGCGCTGCAGGACGGGGGGCACTTCGCGGGCAAGAGCGCGGAGGCGGGAAACCTAGTCGGCTGGGGCTGGGGCGGGCGCAGCCGGAGCTGATCAGACAAGGGGGTGCTGGACTCAGGGTGAGGCGCGGGCAATGGCGCAGAGAACGGGAGAGGGTGCTCGGAGCAAAGTGCATGGCGTGGGCAAAAGCGTGGTGGCGAGGACGCCTGGGTGCAGCGTCTCAAGGTGGGCCTTTGTTCCGAGGCGCCCAGAGGCTCTGCTGCACCTGCAGTATAGTTGGAGCCTGCTGGGGAGCACGGCGGGGGTCGATCGGAAG